CTGGAACTTATAAAATAATATAGGCTGTCTGGCCAGCCAAGTCCCAAACTCCACCCCCCGCAGCACTGGCATTATAAGTAACACTGATTTTGTTGGTTGGTTGGTTTTTTGTTCCTTGTCTTAACGTAGGTTTTAAGGATTGATCTCATGCCCTTGAACCTGCAAGGCAAGTCCTTAACCAACAGAGACGTCTCTCCAGGCCCTATCACACTGCTTTTTTGAGTCAATAAAATTACTGAACAGACATGTGCCAGTCCACAATAAGCACTCGATAAGAGTGGCATTTGTGACTAAGATTCTAACCCTCTCCATGTATTTATACGCACCAGCCAACAAAATCGGGAGCAGCCCCGCTCTACTCCAGGCTTTGTAAGAAACAAGTCAGGCTGGAGGTAAGTTTTCATACCTTGAAATGAACCTCTCTGGAGTCTGACATATTTTCTCAGCCATGCCTATACAATTCCCTTATCTACCCAATGACTAAATAGCATTTGCTTCATAAAATGATGTTGGGAGCTACTGAGTCTTTTCTCCCTGTGCCCTCTGTCTCCATCTTCACAGTAGGGATTGCCTCTTCAACAGCTCCATAGTTTACAAAAGTAACGAGAACAGCAATTACCTCAGCTCTTTAAATTCTTGTGGAGGAAAAGCCGCCAAGATGAAGAGATCAGAAAGGGAGCAGGTCCTCCGTCATCTAGACCACTGGGAACCAGGGCTCTGCTCTGGCCAAATTGCCTCAGAATGGACAATAATTCATACCACAGCCGATAAACCAAACCTTGACTGCAACTGAAATCCACCAATCAGGGCTGCCTTCATTTGCATGTCTGGAAGTAAATGACATCAAGTTGTATGCATAATGGTTCACACTGACCACACTGCTCTATAATGGAAACCTGCATGGCTCAGACTTGCGGGATGCCATGCCACTGTGCTCTTCCCAGTCTACTGAGTGAGACTGTGTTTTCTTCTACTCTGGTAGGAAGGATGAATTCATTCACCAACCCACTAAATCCTGGCACAGACCCTACCAGCTGAGTGTGAACTCCCTGAAGATGGTGATTATGTCTATTTTGACACATCTCAAGAACCTAGAACTTTTCAGTGTCTATCTCAAGAGGGAAAGAAAGCCTACTTCCACAGAGGAAGCTACAAAGGAGAGAAACTAACAAAAGCACCTTTTTCAGGCCTCACACATAAGGACTCAAGTCACCTATTGACTAGTAATAATAAATGAAGTGCGAGAAATGTCAAGAAAAGCACAGTGACCTCAGACAAATCACTACCACTGAGGTACTTATTGTCAAGAGCCTGGCTGCAAAATGACAATCACACCACAAATGTCATATACTCAGTGAGCATTCAAAAATACATTCCCAAGTTACGTGTGGCATGAAAATGCTATCATTGCTATCATGTATGTAAATCAGAAACAATGATATTCACTCATTCTTCATGCTCAGCTGTCCAGTACCTGCATTGGACACTGAAAAAAAAAAAAAAAAGAGGCTGAGCCATCATCCCCACAGAGTATACTGGTTGGCTGAGAGAGTTTGGGAAATGGGGGTCCACTGAGGACTTCTAGCCAGGTAGTTGGGGAAGCAATGTCAAACACATGGAATTCTGGACCACAAGGGCGAGAAAAAAGGACGTACAGGGAATTGATATTCCAACTGCACTAGAGAGGCAGCTGAAGCCCGGGCAGATGAAACAACTTGCTGGAAGGTGCAAAACCCACCTCCGAAGCAGGTCTGTGGGGCTGGAATCATGTCACATGTGACCATAAGACAACGCAAAGAGAAGGCCCGCTTGTCACCGGAGTGCTCTTATCAACCTTGAGTGCTGTGATTAATACTCTTAGTAGGAACCTAAGGACCCAAGGCCCATCCTCTGCCCTAGATGTCTCCCCCAGAACCACCCACAAGGATAAAGATAGATTACCAAGCCCACAGGTTGGAGCGAATCTGTAGTCCAGCCACCAAGAAGGACTGCATTGTTAATTAGCTGGCAAGACCCCATTAGGGATCTTTTCCTTCTTTTTTTCCTCCCTGTAGTCAGTGGTTTTAGTCACACATCCTTTCAGCCCTCAAGCAGAACTCTTTATAGGAAATCCATTTGCATGTGTAAGAGACTCATTTGCATCCAGTCTCCCTGCTGGGCTGGACTTCCCTTTGTAAGGTATTGAATTTATAATACAAAACATGATCTAGGGAATGAAGAGCTCTTGCTGATGAAGTAGCCCCCAACACATCATCTTCCCATCGCTGCCCCCATACAGATTTGGAAAGGAGAGACTCTTTGGCAATGCTTTCAGATCCTGGAAATATGGCTCCCAAGCCCCAAGACTGACAAGTGATGACCACTTTCCATGCCATCTCACAGACAGCAGACTGGACCCAAGTGTAGTAAACCAGGCAGAGGAACTCATGGCTCGCCTTATGTACCAGACACAAGGTGGGCTCCTAGAAGTTTTCTCTCCCAAGGAGCTCATGAACTGAGTGGCTATGGAGCATCATATGAGTGTTTCCTCAGATCCATGTAACTCCTCCAAGTCTACATTCCATCATCTGCAGAGTAAGATAATCCATTTTCATTTACCTTTAGGTGTGACAATTATATGCAATTATGTATAGAAAACGCTTCATCACCTTGCCCTAGTCCAAGCTTCTCAATGGCAGCAGTCATGGTTTCCATGCTGGTGGGGGTGGTGATGGGGCTAACAGGATAGTAGAAGTACCATCTCCCTGGAGAGGTTGCAGCCACACCAGAGGAAGCGATGAAACGCTAGATAGCCCTCTTGAGTCAGTAAGAAGATGGAAGAAAAACTGTCAGAGCAAAGTGGCTGGAAAAGCTTCAGTTGTGCTGGAACGCCACAAAAAGCCAAAGAATGGTGGGTGGGCTACATGCCATTGACAGACAGAGAGCCAGCTTTTGTGCCGGGAGTTTTCATTGCATTGGTTCTATCATCTGTTAAACTTTGGCAATGGTTTTCAAATGAAGAAATCAGGACTCTAATGCGGTTGGATGACTCACTCAAGGTCACATTTGATGAAGTCTGGATTCAAATTCAAGTGTGCCTCGCGCCAAACATGCGGCAGCATAGACATGATGAGAACAGAAAGCAGAAACTGCTCAGGTATTTTAGGACAGGGACCGCAAAAACACGGTTAAGGACAGGAGCCTTGTCCTTGACCAGAAGCCAGAAACCCTTGGTTCTATGAGGAATCCTGTTCTTGCCGGAGATAAAGAGTTTGGGGGGCTTTGGTTTCTGGTCTGGTCTCCTATTGTCTTTCCTCTGCTTTTACAAACATTAAATGACCACTGCTGTACATGGGGATGTGGCCCCAACTGAAAGACCCCTGGGCATCATAGGTAAGCCAACTGGATTGACCTGCCCACCTCCCCAAGCATACCTTTTCCCAGTTTCTGCTGTGAATCCTATACAAGTCTCTAAGCTGACAGTTCTTGGTACCCCATCTCTGGAAACACCCCAACGCTAAGGAGCTCTGCTTGCTTACTCTCTCTTTCTCAATCTCTTACTTACGACCCTCTGATAAAGCATGTGGAAACTAACCATCCCATGGTCCATGAACTTCATCTTTTTTTTTGTTTTAATTTTATAATTACACACCAACTGTATATTTACAACCTCTAGTAAACATGTTTTTCTTGTACATTTTTTAAATTTTATAATTAATTTAATTTTACGTATCAGCCAGGGATTCCCCTGTCCTCCCTCCTCCCACTCCCCCCTGTCCTCCCCGCAATCCACCCCCCATTCCTACCTCCTCCAAGGCAAGGACTCCCCTGGGGATTTAGCTCAGCCTGGTAGATTCAGTTGAGGCAGGTCCAGTCCCCTCCTCCCTTCACCTAGGCTGAGCAAAGTGTCCCAGCATAGGCCTTAGGGTCCAAAAAGCCAGCTCATGCACTAGGGACAGGTCCTGGTCCTACTGCCTAGGGGCCTCCTAAATAGTTCAAGCTAATCAACTGTCTCACTTATCCAGAGGGCCTGATCCAGTTCCATGGGGGCTCCTCAGTTATTGGTTTGTAGTTCATGTGTTTCCACTAGTTTGGCTATTTGTCCCTGTGCTTTTTCCAATCATGGTCTCAGTATCTCTTGCTCATATAATCCCTCCTCTCTCTCGATTGGACTCCTGGAGCTCCACCTGGGGCCTGGCCATGGATCTCTGCATCTGCTTCCATCAGTCATTGGATGAGAGTTCTATCACGACAGTTAGGGTGCAGGAACTTCATCTTTTGAAATTATGAGACGTGGACCTTGAGCCACTGACTCAGTGGCAACTGTGTGTGTCTGGGAGCTTTTGGCACCGACTCTGGAGTTAACCCACCTGAGGCAAGAGAGCCTCCATCCTTCTGAAGGACCCTCATTTCCCCTCATTTCCAAAGGACAGGAAAAAAAATGATGGAGATATGAGAAGAGAGAGAAGCTGTTTACCTAGTTAAAGCCTCACCCCAGCAGGGAAGAAAGGATTCCAGCAGAATTCACAACTATTTAAGGCTTTTCTCTCTTCGCAGTGTAAGCCTGCAATTGACTAAGAATCACACCAGAAACCCCAATTACAAGGAAAGAACACTTATAATCCCCTTGTTCAAACCCAGGGACTCCTGGTTTCACCTTATCAGATTAAAATTTCACCCAGGGCATCTCTGAAACTACACTATAACCTCACTTATCAGAAGAGAGAAAGAGGAAATGGAAGGAAATGGTCCTTCACAGACTTTTGGGATACAACTTGAGAGCCACCAAATGTATGGCTGATGTTAAGACACACTTTATTTGGGGCTAAGACAAACAGCTACAACAAATGTATGGCTGATGCTAAGAAACTATTTATTTATTGTGACTCACCCTTGAGGAGCCTATACCAACACTTGAGTGTGTCTCACTTTGAGTTTTGGTGCCCCCCATCCATAAGACTGCATTCATTTTCACAGGCATGCTTTTATTCACTCTGAGCCCCTTTCTTAAAATGCTTAACAGAATCCCCAAACCTGATTCAGGAACCCCCATTTGGCTGGAATCCAGGTCTCTACAAGACTAAGGGAATTCTTCAGACTGCTGAAGGTGAGAGTATACCCTTGTGTTTCTGTCTTGATGATAAATACATATCTGGCTTACAGCAAACTGGCCCATTGTAGATATCAGGAAGCAGACTCCCAAGAGAGCCCGGACCCTTTCAGATTGTAGCCTAAAAGAACACTCCTATGCTCCCCAGCTCTTGTGTGTAATATGTATGTATATGTATGTATACATATATATCTTTTGCAATGTTATATTGTATTTGGTATTTTACCTTACCTTCCCAAGCCAACTGAACATTGAAAAAAATAGTTTCCATTTTTCTTTTCTATATATCATGCTATCTGTATTTCTTATTTATAGATAATACTTAAAATAGAATGAATTCAATACACTAAATATTTGTTTTTGTTTTTCAAGTGAAATGTGTTTCAAGTGAAAGGATTCTATGCACATTAATACTTTCATAAACAAAAGACAAAAACTCCCTGCACTTGTAGAACTTGTACTCAAAGAAAGACAGAGAGCCAACAGAAAACACAATAAGGGAAATCTGTGCTTCCTAAGCAGAGAATGGGTGATGGGTGGAACATGACTATATAACCTGCTTCTGACCCCTTCCCCATCTAGTGATGGTCATAGTTTCCAACTCGAGTTTCACAGCGGCACTGCATTTTCCCTATGCATACCCCTGGAGTTGCCTGACCTTGCTATTTCAGCCTTGAAGAGAATGCAATTATGAAATCATCTGTCCAAGTTTGCAAAAGGGAAAACCTGGGGGGCACAGGTGTCATGTACTTTAAATGAGATTGAGCCCCTGGAAGGAGGACAAGGGTGGTTTGCAGACATCCCCATCCCTCAACCCTCTTTCTGGGCATTCATTCTTGAGGGATGAATTCTCCACTAGCCAAGGTAGAAAAAGCTTAGTTTCAGTTTGTCAATTCTCGTTGAGGCCTTGGACTTAGCATGCCTTCTGATCACCCACTTGGTGCCTATAGAAACAGCTCAGCTGTCACTATCAACAAGTCACCTTAGTAACAGAAAGTCAACTGCTAACCTATGTGTATTTCTTCTTGCAGTTGCCAAGGAATTTTTCCCTAACCCCATTTGCTTCTCAGAACAACCATTAGAACATGAGACTCATACATTCATTTCATTTTGTAGATGGAGAAACAGACCAGAGACAGGAGGGGACTGGCCAGATTTCATGTAAACAGTTAATGGCAGAGCTAGTAAGAGGGTACCAGAGGAAACCAGTGGGCTTCCTCCTTCTCTGAGCCATTCCCAAGGCCTCCAGGGACCATGTAAGTGCTCCAAAAGGCTCATTCTCTGCCTCTTATACCTTCTCGTGTCCTGTGAGTCAGCACAGCCAATCCACCTAATTCCCATGCACCTGAGTTGTGCAGGATGTGCGCTCTTGTATGAAAGCCTGTAAAAATCTATTTATGGACCTAATTGTCAGTTCTCATGAGTGACAGGCATACAGTGCTTTGACTACTCAACCTAATGTGTCTGTTTCTGACATTTTAAATAGAACACTCTCTTTCCCCACTCCCTGCTCTTTTAGGAAGTAATTTGAGATAGCAGGTATTTTTATAATCATATATCTTTAATTATATCTACACAACTGTCAGAGATTAATGATTTCCTCAATCTGGCTCTTCTTACAGGAAAATTCGGAACTCACGAAACACGAAAAAAATCCTGAGATGGCTGCTGTCAGTAACAAAGACATTTCTGGGCAAGGTGGTTTGGCTTTAGTCAAGTTTGAGTTCTCACTGTAGATTAATTTCGTATGACATTTCAATGAATTATTGAAAATGCAGCACTCGTGCGGATGGTAAACATAACTAGATCTATACATGTAAACCAATAAGAAGGCATGTGACAGCCGGTAAGCAAGCTGCGGTGTAACTAGTCCCCAGCCCCCAGAGAAATCAGCAACAATAGGGCCCGCATGGTACGTGTGCACTTTGACCCCCAAAGCAAATGTTACCTTCTTGTGTAAACAGACTCAATCCCGGAGCACAGGGTCAGCGAAGATTTCAGAAAGAATTCCGTCTACCTCTCTTGCTTGGTGCCACAATCCCCACCGCAGTAAAACTCATTGAAAGACTACTGTAGAGTACCATGTATAAGGCAGCCCGGGGGCACTTGCTAAGGCAGAGGCCATGGACCCCAGGGTCTGCCAATAAATACAGAGGGACTAAAAAAATAAAAAGAGTAAAGAATTGCAAACAGTTGAAGAAAGACATGGAGTGGTTCCTGTAGGCTGCCACAGGAGGAGGGGATCCAAGTCCTTAGCTAACTAGGCACGTGTTGTGGGTAAATTAATTTCTCTTTCATCCCCAGTGAGATGGGATTCATATTTACCCCTGTGAGCATCACATTAGATCTGGCTTTGTTTCCTATAGCTGCCTCACCCCTCTTTGCTCCACTTCCAGAAAGCTGGGTTCCAACATTCCCAATTTCCTCCCATGCCCCTGAAACACTTGATTCCTAAGTCTCAATACTTGAGGCTTCTCAGGAGGCATGAGGTACGCCATCCCTTTGTTGCCACTGACTCTCATGAACTAGTGTGGTGATGTATTGTGTCCCCCAATATACCGTGTCTCTCAATAAAATTTACCTGAGAATCAGAGTAAAAAGCCAGCCACTATATAGAAGTCAGGCAAATGATAGCACACGCCTTTAATCCTATCACTTGACAGGCAGGGACTTGTCTGGATCTCTGTGAATTCAAGGCCACACTGGGAACAGAACCAGGCATGGTGGCAGATGCCTTAAATTCCAACACTAGCTAACCATGGCTAACCATGGAGGTCTGTACAGACAGGAAAGACAGAACTGGGCAGGAAGAGGAAGTGATGTAACTGGACAGAGAGAGCAAATCAGATGGTAGAACAGCAAGGCATATAGGTGTGGGTAGACAGGAAGTAGCTCACTTTTGGAAGCTTCGGAGTTGGTGAGGTGAGGTTAGCTATGGCTTTCCCTATTTCCTTGATCTCTCAGGTTTTCACCCCTATATCCAGCTCCATGTTTTTTTATTTAATAAGACAGATTAGAAATTCATCTACACTAGTGCCCACACCATTGCCTTGGGAAGCCTCCACCAATCACCCAGCTGCATTTGTAAATCCTCAGATCCCTGAGAAATTTCGTCACAAAGGTGTTTATCACACTGGATTATAATAGTTGTGTTGTCTAGTGTCTTAGGAAAGTGACATATTTTATATCCACAGGACCTAGCTAAGTAACTGGCCCCTGTCAGAATATTTGCTGGAAAAAAATGAAAGTGAGTGGATAGAAACGTGATCAATGACAGGCAATGTGAATCTATACTTTGTGAACTATAATAGAAGAAGCCACCATTCAATGAATGCCCCCCTGCCCAGAGGCCCTGGGGCATTCTCCTAACTGTCTACCTCCACATGATTATAAAATAACCACAGCCTATAAGAAGAAAGTATATGGCTCAAATGTCCAGTAACCCAATCTGGTGTCAATGACAGACATTATTAGCTCTTCAGAGAATGTAGCCTTTCTAGGGCTAAGTAATGGCCCTTGAAAAATACTGAAGATTCACATTTGAAAAAACTGTCAAAAATCAGACTCTTCAGATCATTCTATATTATTCAGTAGGCCTGAAATCCGTTGGAAAGAATACCCTCAGAGACACCCAGGAGAAGACTACTCCAAGACAGTTGAAGGCCAAGGGGTGGCAGCAGTCACCATAGGCTGAGGAAGACAAGGACAGATCTTCCCCCTGAGCTGTCCCCTGGAGAGCACCCTTGCCAGGACCTTTGAGGCTCCAGATCTGCATTGCTCTGAGTGAGCAAGCCTAGGGCCATGTGTTACAGCAGCTTTTGGAAATAAAGACTGAGTTAGGAGAGTTTTCTCTAAGGTGTCTAGCCATCCTAGAGCAGGGACGAGACTGAGATCTGAACACCCCTTTCCCCCACAGCCTTGGGCTTTCTGTGGTATGAGGACTTCTCCCAGGGGCAGGCAGCCTCTGGAGGAAGACCGACCGTCTAGCACCCTGTGTGTGTCCCAGCTTCTGACACAAACTTACCTGTGGATTTTTTTTTTTATAGCAGCTTCAGGTGACCATGAAACACAGTGCTGAGATGCCCTGTGAAAGCCCCACTCTGGGGCATGCCTCATGTAACCAAGAGGGAACATAGGGAAAAAAATGAAGCCGGTCCAAATGGAAAATCCAAATGCTGCCTTTTCCTCCAGCATCCCAAGCTCCCCACACCGCTGCATGGTAGGGAGTGGGGGTGGGGTGGGGTGGGAAACAATTAAACATAAGAGTGGGCTTTAACTACCTCCATTCCAACTCCCAATGGGGTTTGTTAAATCATTTATAATTCCAGAAAGCTGAAGTAAATATTTAATATTTGATTCCTAATCCATAAATATTTACACACTGGGATTTCTTCATGTTCAACATGCCCACAAGAGGGTTTGTACTTTTAGCAAGTGTGACTAATGAAACCTTGTGATTCCTGCCCCTAAGCAAGAGCATCTGGCTCCAGGAACCATGGCAGAGGGAACCATCTGTGTTCACCCAGAGTGGGCCATGATCAGGGACATGGCCAAGGATCCAGCTTTGGGCAACCACTCTGGGGAAGAAGGAAAGACAATGAGAGAGGAAGCAAAGACAAAACCCCTGCTGCAGCTGCTGAGGAAGAGGAGGAAGTGGCAGCCATACAAGGTGCGCATCCCAGGGGCGGTTGTGACATTTCTCACTTGTTCAAGTCAGGGCAATTAACATTTCACAGGCATGTGCACTGTAAAAGCACCGGGAGAACAGGACGGGAAACCCATGCAACCGTCCTTTGAGGAGCGTTGGGATGATGTTGATAGAGTCCTCTAACTTTGCTAAGCCATTCTGTCAGGAAACAGTTGGTGAAATTTACTCACTTCATTAAGTGGGTGGCATCTAGCTAGGAGGCAAAAAAATAAAAAGATCAGGTTCCTTTCTCAAGAAGCAAATGGCTTTCTGAATGTAATAAAGTGGGAGCCTTCACTCCTGGATCAACTGTGCACCATGCTCTCTGCTGGAGTCCACACACCTAGAGTCTAATTCTAAATTCAGACTGGGGGCATGGTAAGGGGCTCTGTGGGCTATGGAGCTTCTAGAAAGTTCCGGCGCTTGGACACTGTGGGGCTAGGTTTCAAACACAGAGGATCCATCCACCAAGACCCAGTCAGGCCAAATGAACACTGGCCTGCTATTTAAAGAGGGAATACAATGCAAGGAGCCTCCACAATGGTGTGGAAGAAGCTGAAAAGCCAGGGAAGGAGGAAGTGAGCCAAGGATTAGTGAGAGCAGGAAGCTGCTACTAGCCAGAGGATTAGGCCAACAAAAGGAGTGAGTGCCCTGACCAATGCTAAGCCAAGAGATGGGTCTGGGAGATGGCTGGGACTCTGCTGGGCCAAAGGAGCTCTCTGCCAGTGCAGTGTGACAGAGGAGATTCAGTGGTTACCAGAGTGAGGAGAGGTAACTGGTTTCTCCTTTTGCCCTGCCTTATGTCCTCCACCATGACCTCCCATTGGATGGGAGAATCCCAAGTCTGTCCCGAGAAGAGCATAGAGAACTATGGGCATTTGTCCCCTTGTCCTCCCTGCCTTCGTCGGTGAAGAAGGAATCTGAGAGCAAACACAAATGGCAGATCCTCCTGGTCTAGTCTACTTCTAGGCTTGCCCTTGCTGCTAGAGGAAGCCAGCCTATCAGAAAAGGCTTGAAGGCATGACCACTCCCCACCCCCACCCCCCAGTGCTCCCAGGGGACAGCTATGCCTTGTGCCGGTTTTTAAAGAGCAATGGAGCTGTCATCTCTGTTTGGCTCACTCAGAATGCTGACGGGAGAGTCAGGACCACATCTGTTGGGGTGCTCTGTTCTCTCAGAGGTCCTACAGAGGTGTGTGCCAGAGGACAGTGCTCTTGTTACACAGAGCACATGAACAACAGGTTTTCTTCCACGTCACAATACAGAATCTAACCCCTGCCTGTGCTCCTTCTGGAATATTCCCCTTTCCCTCTCAGCCTGATTTGTCCAGCTCTTTCTAACCCAAGGAGGCTATGTTCTGTCGACCCGGAGCAGATGAGGGTAAGAAGTAGAGGGCCTTCGGTGAGCGGGACCGCAGCGAGACGACGCTTACTGCCTGGTAATTCTCCGTAAATCACCTATGGTGACAGGCTGCAGACAATCATTTCTTGTGACCGAGACAAGATCAAAGGATTAAGGTTTTTTATTTATTTATTTTTGGTAAAGCGGGCTTGGGTTATGTCATGAGAATCCTAAAAGTCAATCTGAAAAGAATAGCCTGCCACGTAAAAGTCAGATAATGCAGCCCAAGGTCTCTGGGAAAACTGGAAGTCTTTTCAGGGAGAATGGCAGATGAAATCGGGGACATTGTGTCTGCCTAGGAAAGCCTGTCACAGCCCCTTTTCCTGCACTCGATCTCTGGTTACTGGGCGGCCACAGCCTGGGCCTTACAAGGATTCCAATAGTGATGACATCATCTACCTCTTACTGAGCCCTGAGTCAGATGCTCACACGCTCTGAGGCTCTGAGTAAGAACCTTGTACATAGACAAAGGGGGTCCCATTTTATCAATAAGGAAATTGAGATGTACCAAACAACTTACTTTTTGGTTATTAATACAAGTTGTTCGAATGTTTGCAGCATGCTTACATCTGCCCTTCACTACATGCATCAGACCTGAGTTTAAAACCATACAAGGAAGGACGAGAGTCAGAGAGATGAAGGAAATCACCCTTGTTTACTTATCATGTTCAGAAATACAGAAGCAAAGCTCAAGGCTGGGTCCTCTCCTGCTAGTCCTCTAGAGGCTGTTCATCACTGGTTCACTTCCTCATCCTTCACATACTGACTAGGCCTCTACAATGTGCAAGGCCCTGCAGAGAGCACGCCTGTGTCCCCACTGAGCATTCCGACATGTGGCTTTGCAGTACACTGAGCTGCTGTGAGCACCAGGCAGCGTGTGTGGCCTGGGCACTGGGCTCCTCCATGCAAAGACTAGGATTCACATTCAGCCCATTGGAATGACATTCCCTATGCTTTCTCGGCCACTCAGAGCATCTTCTGGATCTGCAGGGTCTGAGGCAGGGTAGGTGGTAGGTATCATTTTGTAT